CCGGCGTTGCCCGCGTTCACCTTGACTTGAAACCCTAGCCTCTTTGACTCGACCCGCGTCCGTATTCCTCTCTCCCTCAATACTGACCCGCGGCCCATCCGTAACATTAGATCAATATAAATCCAAGCGTATGAGATGAGATCGGACCAGAACAAATTAGAAATTCAAAAAAAATCAAATGAGATGAGCCATCTCCCACACATACATCCGCAATTAGGCAAATTGGGCCACAAGCACGAATTTGGAAAAAAAATGGAAGAGATAGAATGTTGGTTTAATTAGGCAAATTCGGCCGCAACACAAAAAACATCATTTAATAAGTTGGTTTTAGGTTACTCCAAGGAAGACACCAAGTTGGTGGTGCAGTACCCATGAACACACGTTTATACCGTCCGAATTAGTGAAATATTTGCAATTTCACATTTGTCAATAACTTGAATTTATGTAGGTGTGCCTAAAACCAAGATAGTAACAACTATACTAAAACTGGACAACAACAAATCGGTATAATCCTATAAAAGTAGAGTCCGGCCCGAGAGGGTATGGGTACGCAATTCTTATTTCTACTTAGAGTTAGTAGAGAGACTATTTCCAAAAGACCATCAACTCAGAAGAAGAAAAAAGTATATACCATGCAAGAAAACTAAGGAGTAATTAAAGTCAAGAAGAATGCAAGGAGACAAAAGACACACACAATCTGTTAGAAACTTAGGAGGAAGAACATTGCGAAGCAGCGTTGAAGAATTGAAGAACGAAAAACAAGAATAATTACGAGTTGATAGTTTAACAAATTGTTAATACGCTTTCAAATTAAAGTTATTTCGTGGTATAGCAAAATACTTTAATTGAATAAGACGTTAATTGAGAACATGCCTTTCAAAAATACACATCTCAACCATACCCAGCGACTCCTTTTATAGAGTTGAAGATTTTGGCGACCAGACATGAACGTTCACGCAACAGAGAGAGAACCAAACTTTCGCTAAAGGATGCAAGTGTTTGCGCATTGATTTCCTTTCAGTTTTTCGGTCAATTTTAACATTTACCCATCCCAATCTCCACTTGGTCAAAAAAGGACTCAAGTATTTTAAATTTTTAATAAAAAATTAATTTTGCTGATCAATTTATGTATAACTTATAAATTTAAAATTGTTTACTCTGGTATTTAATTAGGTATATAATATATGCAGTACGTTATTATTTACAATATAAGATGAAAGTTAACACTATTTCTATCATTAAACACCACAAAAGTTAAATTTCTGTCAATAAAATTTAACACTCTTTCTGTCATTAAAATACATAGCGTTAAATTTTATCTTATTATTGTGAATTATTACGTACTATGTATGTCCCAAAATGATTTTTATACTAACTTAGAGATAAAATCATATGAGTAAATTCCCAAAATAGTCCTTTGTAATAAGGGATTTTCCCAAATTAGTCCTCAATAAGTTTTAATTACCTACATGGTCCTCTATAATTGAGATTTATTCCCAAAATAGTCCTTTGTAATAAGATATTTTCCCAAATCAGTCTTCAATAAGTTTTAATTACCTAGGTGGTTCTCTATAATTGAGATTTATCCCCAAGATGGTCCTTCATAAATAATGTTTCTCAAATGAGGATTAATTAAGGTTATTTTTTCTCTGCTAAATTTAGAATTAATTTTTAAAATAATCATTTATAATGAAGTGCTTTCCCAAAATGGTTTTTCTAATTAAAGATGTGTACTTGATTTGAAATTTAAAAAATTTTTAAGTTTTAAATAATTCATAAATTATTTATGAGTAAATTCTCAAAATGGTCCTTTGTAATAAGGTGTTTTTCCAAATCAATCCTCAAATGAGGATTAATTGGGAGATATTTTGGTATTTTGATAATCCAAATTTAAAGTATATTTTTGAAACAATCATTTCTGTACAACTAAATGTAAAATTTAAAAAATACATTGAGTATAAATAATTTATGAATTATTTAAAACTTAAAAAAAATCTTTTAAATTTCAAATCAAATACACATCTTTAATTAGAAAAATCATTTTGGGAAAGCATTTCATTATAAATGATTATTTTAAGAATTAATTCTAAATTTAGCAGAAAAAAATAACATCAATTAATCCTCATTTGAGTAACATTATGTATGAAGGACCATCTTGGGGATAAATCTCAATTATAGAGGACCACTTAGGTAATTAAAACTTATTGAGGACTGATTTGGAAAAATACCTTATTACAAAGGACTATTTTGGGAATAAATCTCAATTATAGAGGACCATGTAGGTAATTAAAACTTACTGAGGACTAATTTGGGAAAATCCCTTATTACAAAGGACTATTTTGGGAATTTACTCAAATCATATCTAAAAAATATGAGATTCTACACATTGTTAGAATAGTGCAAATAAATTTCGAATAATGTGTAAAATCTCATACTCCCTTCATCCCAAAATATTTGCAACATTTGTTTTTTCAGCAGTCGCGGGAACTTTTGTTTATTTCTACGTTTTCATTAGTTATTTGATAAAATAAAATATTCTTGACACCCCTTATTTCGAAAAACTTTTCATGTAGTTTTTTGATATGTAAATTTTATTTTTTATTTCTATACCAATATGTAAATAAAATGAATTGAAAAAACTTGATATTTTACCTTGGAAATACAAGTGTGGCAAATATTTAGGGACGGAGGGAGTATTTTTTAAAAACCGGAGTAAATAATTTTAAATTTATAAATTATACTCCCTCCTTTCCAATTTTGATTTCAATCTTTTTTTTCTCTCACCTCTCGATAACTTTTGTTTACTTGTGTATTTTCATTGATTAATTATTTGATAAAATAAAATATTCTTGTCACCTTTTATCTTGTAGAACTTTTAATGTAGTTTTTTAAAAGATACGGTATCTTACCTCGTAAATTGTAATTTGTAATCAAATTTGGGACGTAGAGAGTACATAAATTGATCATTGAAACTAATTTTTTTTATTAAAAATTTAAAATACTTTAGTCTTTTTTTTTACCGAAGTAGAGATTGGGAAAGCTTATTGGGGGTATATAGTTTTTTTGGTAGGGCATTAGTATTTTTTTAGAATTAGAGTAGTAAAACAATATTTTCCTCAAAAAATCGTAAAACAATAATTAATTTTATTAATAATAATAAATATAAAAAAAGAAAAAAAGGGAGGGCCGGGGGTCTGGATCGGAGGGAAATCAAATGATGATGATGATGATGATGAATATGTGATGATGTGGATGATGATGAAGTTAAAATTAACGGAGGAATTGACGGATGGCTCCTGTTGGTACATTTTCGAATAATTTGAGGTACCAGGCAGTGTATTTTTAAAATTAAGGGTACCTGGTAGTTCTTATCATAAAGCTGGGAGTACTTGCCAGCAGTTTTTTGCTTCTATATTCCCCCATATTCTTGATGCTTTATTATATTTCCACCATACTAGAGTTTTCACATTTCTAATCTGGGAATCAACAATGTATCCCACTTTTGTTAAAGACTTAAAGTCAAATATATATATGTGTGTGTCTATATATATATATATGTGTGTGTGTCTATATATATATATATATATATGGGATTGACTCCAGTCAGATGACATCTTTCGGTCAGATGACAAGCTTCAAAATGAGCACCACCTTGTTTGAGAATGAGCACCACCTTATTTCAGAATGAACACTACACTGAGCAGACTGAGAATGAGTACTAGGTTGTTTCAGAATGAGTACTACGTTTATAATTAACAAATGTGTGAAAGTCAACCCTACAATGTCTTAGAATGAACACTACGTGGATTCAAAATGAACCCTATGTTGTCGTCTCGCTGTCTATGAATGAACACTACATTGTGATGAACAGTTGTGTGAGAATGAATCCTACGTTGTTTAAGAATGAGCGCTACATTGATTCATAATGAGCATTCGTTGTCATCTGACCGAAAGTGTCATCTGACCGAAACATGTCATTTGTATATATATATATATATATATATATATATATATATATATATATATATATATATATATATATATATATATATATATATATATACACACACACATATATATATATGAATTAAAGGGGGGTGTGGAGTAGGCAGGGGCGGAGGAGAGGGGGGGGCTGACAGGGCAAGTGCCCCCCGGCGAGATTCCGGCGAAGTAGTGGTTACCGGCGATTTGAGTTATCCGGCGATGAAGGTGCCCTGCCAACTGCCAAGTCGAAGTCTGAAGAAGATGACGGATTGACGATTGACCAAGTGACCGTCCCTTGGCTTACTTTCGGTTTTTAAAAGAAAACGCAATACGACGTCGTTTTAGGTTAGGGGTTAGATTAAAATAAAAAAAATACGGAGTAAATCTTAAGACTCCTCGGCTCTGTTTCTTCTCCAGTTCCGCCTCCTCGCTGCTTAGTCTCTGTTTCTTACGCAGTTCCGCCTCGGTGCCTCCTTTGGTGCTTCAGCTTTTCCGCCTCTTTGCAATTTTCTTTCTTCGACACCTAGCTAGAAGTCAGATGAGGAATCTCCCATCGGCTATGCTTACTCCTTTTAGCCGTTTTAGGTTACTAAGGTTAGTGAGGTTAAGGTGTTTTTTTTGTTTTAATTTTTAAAATTATTCCGTCAATTTTACTTTGTGTTTGTTTAAACTTTTAAGGCTTTTAGATTTGTACCAAAAAATGCTTTTAGCTTGTGATTTGTGACTTTAATACATTATGTATTAAAAAAAGTACTCCCCCGTTATCAAAAACACTTTCTCTTGCATTTTTTTCAATTCCAACAAAACACTCTCACTTTCTATTGAAAAACCATTTTTATCCTTACTTTTTCATACCCTACCCTACCTACTTATTGATTTGTTTTTTTAGAGATTATTATTAATCTATAAATCTATAGTATATATAATTACTTTGATTGGAATTCAATTAATGATATTGTTATTTGATTAAGAATGATTCTATATACCTTTGAACAAATTCGTTACTCCGTAGATGACAAATGACCAAAATCTTATTCAAGAAACAAAAGTTAGTACTTCTTTATGGTATGATTAATAATAATGACATTTTATTGTTATATTTTTGTAAATTATTTTAATCTTTGAGATACAATTTATTATTGATTTATCAGTTTATATTGTAGTTAAAAATTGGGAGCATTGCCTTGGACTCCCCCGACCCCGAGTGTGCCCCCACTAGTGACCTCCTGGCTCCGCCACTGGGAGTAGGTGATGTTGGGAGACAAAGAGGCCGTGGAAGCCATAAGGAACTCGGCGGGGGAGCAGGACAGCGGCCACAATGTGTAGGTCGGGAGATTGAGCATCCATGACGATGAACCGAGACTCTCCTGTTTTCTCGTCATGCACGTACGACAACACGTACCCCTCGTCCTCCTCAACCGCTCCCTCTTTGGCAACAAAGAACGGCTCCCCCCCAAAACACCCCGGCCCGTATAGCCTGCTAGCCACTGTGCAATCCCGGCGGTCGGATTCCGACATCGAGATGTCCAGCTTCACCACTCCTGATACCTTTGGTGTTGGATTCCCTATCCCGGCGTACACATACCTGTATATATTTAATGCTCACTTATTTGCCAAACACATGCAAACTATAATAATAAGAAAAGTAAACCATTATATATATCCTCCAACTCTTTGGAAATAATGGACAATGTTAGGGGTACACCAACATGAGGTACCCCAAGTGTACACTAAGCCAACACAGGCACACACAGACACTTTCTGTCTGTGTTGCACAGACACTTTGTGTCTGTGTTGGCTTGGTGTACACTTGGGGTACCCCATGTTGGTGTACTCCTAGCTTAATTCGGGAATAATACTTGTTTTTCTTAGCGACATAGGCAGGATTGATGACACCGAGATCGAGGTTCCTGGTATAGAGCGGGTGCCGGGAAACCATGCCGGTTTTGAGATCAATCTTCACTTTTTCCACCGCCGCGTGTGTCATATGCATCCGTTCCAAAATGTGTTCCACTCCCAGCACGTTGGGAGCCACCATCACTATTGTCTCCCCCTCATCCTCCTCCCACGCGTTTATGGCGTGGGCTTGTTGAACCCGGGGGCGTCGAACCACCGCATTTCCGACCCCTCCTCCGCGTCCCTCCGGATCACCCCGATCCTCGGGACCTTCCTCGGGTCCACCTTCACCGGCGAGAACCCGGTCCTAAAAACCAGGTCGAGAAGGCTCGCCGCCATCTCTATCTGCGTCTCGCCGAAGACGGCGTAGTTCTTCGTGATTGCAAAGTCGTGCATGAACGACGGTCGCGTCACCGAGAGGATCGGGACGTCCCTTTCTTTCGTTCCGTCGGGGTTGACTCTGAAGAGGGTCAGGTAGGGCGGGGTGATGCCGTACCGGAAGGCATACACCCCGCCCGTGTCCGGATCGATCTTCGGGTGGGCTGTCATGCTGGTCTCCAGCTTTCCGCCGAAATCCTGGCGGCAGACGGTGACGATGTCTCCGTCCCGAGTCACTCTAACGGCGTAGGGGAGGTCGGATCCGGCCAGGGCGAAGAGCTCCCCGACGAAACGGGCCAAGCTCGTGTTTGCGGGCCCGATCCCGTTGGCCGGGTTGTACTGCCCGCAAAGCGTGCGGGCAGTGGCGAGGGCCCCGCGGGCAACGAAGGCGGGCAGGCCGTTAAAGCCCGAGAAGAAGTTGGGGACGACGGGGCCCCCGGCCTCCCGCTCTAGCTCGTACTTGTAGGTTCTCACGTAGCGGCTGCAGAAGGTGGCCTTCCCGCCCGAGATCGTGACGGCGTGGAGCATCCCGTCTCCGTCGAAGAGGTGGTAGGGTCCGCGCGGGAGATGCTGGGGGTTCGGGCCGTTGCGGATGTAGGCGCCCTCGAGGCTCGGCGGCAGGGACCCCTCGACGACCTCGCACTCGGTCGGCGGGAGCTCGTCGACGGGGGCAAAGTTGGACGCCAGAACGTGCCGCGGATCGACGGAGGGGCGGAGGGGAGGGTCAATGAAGGTGTCGATGAACTCGTTAGCCCAATTAAATACCATCGCAGCGAGCTTATTGTTTTTAATAATAGTATTGTTATTAGTGGGGGCAGCTTTTCCCGGCGGCGGCGGTGATAGCTTTTCATCAGTTCTAAAAATATTATTAGGAATGGAGAGTTTGGGTGTTGATGATGAAGGACGACGACGACGAGCGCCGGTACCCTGCTGCTGGGTTATAGCCCTCATGGAGATGATGGGAATGGTTTCCTTAGAACCGAAAGAAGAAAGAGAACAATAATATTCCATTCCCATCCCTTGCGTACGTACGGGTAGTGTGTGGTATGAACAATATTAAAAAAATAATAATTTTGGTGCACTGCTTAATGAATAAATAAACGCCCCACATATTACCTACCAGCTCCAAAATCGATTTTCTTAAAGCTTGTTATGTGATTTAAGACTGGAAAAAAAAAAAGCGGGATGTTGGAAGAAACTGGAAGAAAAAGAACTGGAAGAAACTGGAAAAAACTGGAAGAAAGTGAAAAAAATTTTTAAAAAATTGGAAAACCTAAAAAAACTTTAAATAATTTATTTTAGTTTTTTTATATTATTCTCATTCTTATTCTTTTTGTTATAAATTATCATCATCATCATCATCATCATCACCACATTATATATCTTAATGAATACCTTTAAGATAAAAAAAGTATTGTTATTTTTTCATACACAAAAAATTACTTTTGCGAAAAAATAGTTATTATAATAAAAAGTTAGCATAAATATCAAAATCTTGTAATATATAAAGTTTTATTAACAGGCTTGTTAGAGTATATATAACAATCATTCCTGGGCCACAACCACAAGCTTGAGCTTTTGGTTGAGTTGGTTCCTTGATATGGTATCGGAGCCTCGTTGACTAAGAGGTCACGGGTTCGAAACTCAGCGCCACCCAGTTTTAAAAAATTAAAGGTTTCACGTGCAAGGCTCAAAGAGGTCACGCCTGCACGTGAGGGGGCGTGTTAGAGTATATAACAATCATTCCTGGGCCACAACCACAAGCTTGAGCTTTATCTTGTCTGATATACACAAGAAAGAATAAGTTTATTACATTATGTGACATATCTGATATTTAAAACAAAATCTTGTAATATATAAAGTATAACTACAGATATATTATTTTTAATAAATACTGCAGAGTGAAAATATAACACTGTATAGTGATATTCTACATTATTTTTCTTTATATTATATGTTGAAAGACAATATTGACATTCTAAATTCTATAGTAAGGCTAAAAACATAAGTGAAATTTGCAGTGAATAGGACTAAAACATAAGTCATTTCCCAATGTAAAACTTAAAGTTTTTTATTCCTTAAATGAGATTAAATAATGACTTGTGAGAGGAATAATGTCCAAGTGATGCTGGACATTTAGTTGAATAATGACTACTAGATAATGACCAATGGTCTTACATTGGAAAATAAAAACATATGGTTCTATTTTGAGAAAGTCATTATGTTTTAGTCTTATTTAGGTAAATTACTCAAAACATAAAGGTTTTATGTGATTCATTTTCCATGTTTTTATTATTATATTAGTCTTTTTCTCTTTTTTAAACTACGTTAAAAAAGAAAATGAAGATTAATTTAGAAAGCACATAATATTTGGTTTGAGAATTGAAATTTATTAAGGGCAAAACTTGTTTATCTCAAAATAAGAAAGCTACTCCCTCCGTCCCACAAAACTTTCTCCTTTCCTATTTCATCCATCCCAAAAAAATTTTCCTTTCTCTATTAAAAAGTCACTTTTACCCCTAATAATTCTTAACCTACCTATCACATCACATTTTTTATCTATTAATCTACCTATCAAATCTTACTTTATCCATCACATTAAAGGGCATTTTTGGAAATTTAACACCAAAATATACTCTCCTTAAATCTTTTAAAAGTCAAAATGAGAAGTTTTTTGGGATGGTAGACAATTAAGTTTATTCTTTGATTAAAGTGTGGTAATGGTGGGACCATATTCCGGTGGTAACGGGAGAGAGGTCAGGCAACTATCTGGTGGATGATCAAGTGCTGCTATTGCTATACTCGGTATATCTCTCTGCCTGATATTAGGCGTCTGCTTTACAATAAATTCTGCATTTGTTTTACTCTTTTTCTCCTAAAATGTTCTTCCCATTTTTATTTACAAGATTTGAGCGATTTTATTTTAAATTTAATTTATTTGATTGTAAGTATAAAGTTTAAAAATAAAATTTATATATTTAAAAAAAATACATTAAAACTTCTACAAAACAAGTGATGACAAGTCTATATTATTTTATCAAATAACTAACGAAAATAGAGGTAAATAAAGTGATTAAAATTTGACCGTGTGAATTGTAACATGAAAAATGTTTTAAGACGGGGAGAGTATAAATTTAAAAAAACTGTGTATTTGTGACTTTGTTTTGTCGTGGTACTAAATTGTAAAAGGAAAGAGATGATTTGGGTATATTTGGGAAGATATTTTCGTATATATTAGTTTTGGTAGTTTCCTTGTATAGTGATTCCTTTTCCTTTGTTACCTATTATTCTCCACTATATATGTATGCCTTGAGTTGTATATTCAAACACAGAAATAATACGAGAGATTTTCCTCTTAAACAATTCTTTCATGGTATCAGAGCTAAAACTCTAGGAATTTCCGCACGATCGCCCGGCATCGCGTCCATCGATCGCTGCCCGCTGTTGCTGCCGAGAAGACCGGAACGGTCGACCGTCTGTGCATAACGGTCGAAGACATCGACCGTCCCGACGGCAGAATCTTCAACCGCTGCTGTTTTTGATCCAAATCTTGAACTCTTTCATCTGGTATGTCTGAAGAAACACCTATGAAGATTATTTCCAGTAAGAAGAATGAAGAACGAGAGGAGGAGGAGGTTGGGGTGCGACGTCGTCGTATCTCTCCTTACGATTTGTCTCCGAGCGACAATCCGGGTATGATCTTGACCCATGTCGTTCTAAAGGGAGATAATTATGATGATGAGTGGTCCAAATCTCTGCGCTTGGCTCTTCGAGCACGCAAGAAATTTGGATTTGTTGATGGAACAATTGAGATGCCAGATCCCGATTCAGAAGATTTTGACGATTGGTGGACAAACCATTCACTGTTGGTCTCTTGGATTTGGAACACGATTGATCCAACCTTGAGATCCAGCATATCTTTTATGGAAAAGGCTTCAGATCTGTGGAACGAGTTGAAGGCTCGTTTCTCTGTGGTTAATGGACCGAGGGTCCAGCAGTTGAAGCGAGATTTGGCAGAATGCAAACAGAAGAATCTTTCCATAATGGAATATTATGGAAAGATGAAGAAGCTGTGGGACGATCTAGCAGATTTAGAGCGGTTCCCGATCTGCACGTGTAGGAATTGCACGTGTAACTTGCAGGAGAAACTCACACAGATGCGTGAGAGGGAACGCTCCCATCAATTTTTGATGGGTCTGAATGATGCTTTGTATGGGACTTTGCGGTCAAATTTGCTGGCCCAGGAGATCATACCACCAGTGTCAAGGATATATAACATTCTTGTCCAAGATGAAACGGCACGGCATGGCATGCACAAAGGAGAAAGCAGTGAAGCAGGTGCATCCATGTTTGCCGTAAAGAACAAGATGGAGGTCAAAGAGCTTGTGTGTTCACATTGTGGGAAAACAGGACATGATATTGAGGCATGCTACAAGCTGATTGGGTACCCAGAAGGATGGGTGTACCGCGATCAGGCCGGAAGAGGAAGAGGAAACGGCCGGGGAAGAGGTCGTGGTGCTGCTCGAGGCGGCGGACGGTCGACCGTGGCGGCTGGATGGTCGACCGTTACGGGCGGACGAGGTGAAGTCCACGCAGTCCAAGGAGAAGAGAAAGGACCATCCCCGCTCCCAAATTTTGAGGATCTGACACCCAAACAGTGGAACGCTGTTCGTCATGCACTCTCGCTCTCCCCTACAGACAACACACCGAAACTCTTAGGTATTCCTGAATGGAGAAACCCATGGACATTTTGCAGGAAAGAAAGGGTTAAGACAAGGTGATCCACTATCCCCGTTGCTCTTTGTTCTAATTATGGAATACCAGCAAATGGCCAAAACAAAAGATTTCCCGTTCCACCCAATGTGTAAATCACTCAAAGTGGTAAATCTCTGCTTTGCTGATGATTTAATCATAGTATGCAAGGCTGAATACAAATCTGTGAAAGCCATAATGGATACACTGGAGACCTTCCAAAAGGGCACAGGACTGGGGATCAATTTCAGCAAGTCACAAATTATTTTTGGAGGAGTAGACAAGGATACCCAAGGGAAGCTCCTAAGATTAACAAACCTCCCCCCGGGAGACCTCCCCATCAGATACCTTGGGAGCCCAATATCAGCTTCAAGGATATGGGAAAAAGAATGTGATAGGTTGGTCTGTAACATCACAAATAAAATATCAACTTGGGCTACTAGGCACCTATCTTATGCAGGAAGGTGTCAGTTAGTCAACACAGTACTCTTTGGAATTATGACCTTCTGGAGCCAACTCTTTATCATATCTTCTAAGGTCATGAAGGAAGGTGCAGAGCATTTGCAGGAATTTCCTTTGGGGGTCCAAAGCTAACTACACCAAGATCCCTTTAGTGAATTGGGAGGAGGTATGTCTGCCTAAAACATATGGAGGGCTGGGGCTGAGGAATATGACACTTTGGAACGTAACAGAGCGTTTATACAGAATTACTGGTGGGATGTCAAGAATAAGAAGGACAATTTATGGGTAAAATGGATACATGAACGATATATGAAAATGGAGATGGAGAGTTACAAGCTAAAGGGTGATAGCTGTTATTATTGGAAGAAAATCGTGCAAAACAGAAAATGGTTTGTCAATATGGAGATCACTAAGGAGTATACAACAGAGGATGGATACACATGGCTATTGGGGGAGAAAACTAAATCATCCTGGACCCCTTTTATATGGAATAAATTGACAGCTCCAAAACACTAATTCCAACTTTGGCTAATATGTAAAGGAAGATTGAAGACCAAGGATAGACTAAGCAGGTATATTGACATAAACCAAGTATGCCCACTATGCAGAATTGAGGATGAAAACCAAAACCACCTCTTTTGCAACTGCCCTTTCACTATCAAACTGATGGGGAAAATATCAGAAGGAATTGGCTTCACAATCAAAGGGGAGAGTGTAGAAGAAA